TTCCAACAGTATCTATGGTCAGACTACCCGAAGCACTATTGCGACTTGCGGCCTTGTGATATATCCAAGATAGTGCTAGGATCTTCAGATTACGTACCAGTTTTGTGGTCCAAGATGCCAAAGGAGGTATGTTGCCGCCGAAAGGTCTCCATTCGCAAATCGTTGAGATTGTTCAAGTGTTGCACGAAGTGCACATTTAACATCTCCTATGCATCCTTCACAGTTGTTATTAACCACATTATTCCTAAACAGGCACTTTGTTGCTCTCAGAGTCAAAAAGAGAGTCTACATCATTCATTCACTGTTAGCTTCTCTCCACAATCCTCGTCTCACCACATTTTGAAGTGAAAATCAATTAGAGTAAACTCACGGACTACACATGAACATGAATCCACTAAGGAAACGTTCTGCTGGGTCGCGAACCATCGCAAAGTTCATCCAGGGCTTGCCATGAGCAAGTTTTGCAACCTGCTTGTACGAATGCAACTCATTACGTGTGGCGCATTTTCTAAATTTGTTCATTACATCTCGCATACGCCACAACCAAACACTCTAGGAATATAAGACCACTACTTATGATCCCCTTCGCTCGCAAGTCATTTAGACTCAATGCACGTAAATGCGTTCATGGCTGAAGTTGTGTGCTTCTCGCCACAAAATGATCTTCATCAACACTCAAAATGTTCTCTTTTCCAGTCGCTCCTATGCGGTGAGTATCAAACAAAAAGCAAAAAACTTCTCCCTTCGATCAATGCTAAAACATTATGGATAAAGATTTTTTTGCTGCAATCCAAAAAATCTTTTGTCTTAGCAAATTGAATCGCGCAAAGAGGAAGAGCATAAAGGAAGGACTTGAAAAACAAACGAGGTAAGGAAGTAAATACTCTATTATTGAAATTTCGAGCTTATTCGTAGGAATGAGTTTAAAAAGCGAGCAGATTGCAAACCACTGAAGCGCATCTCAAACGTGAAGGAATATAAAGAATATAAACCGCTAACAATGCCATATATAGAGGAGATACAGAAACAACAAGTGAATTGTTAAACAGTCACCGTTGCAGCATCGAAGTTATGCTGTTGTTTGTTCTTCCCATCTCTCCCGTGAACAGCAAACAGAA